GATGTTGCTAAGGTCTCTGTAGGCACGCTGGAAGGTACGATTTTCTGAGCGCAGCTGCTGCACTACTCTGCTAAAAGTATCTCAAAATTATTATATACACGGGCATAAAGTAAAAATATTTCAAAAACGAACATAGGCAATTAACATGGGAAAAAGGTTTTTTGCAGATCGTTGCTCCCCCATGATGATTTAGATCTTAGCGGGTTTAGAATGACACCAATCGAAAGAAGATTTTTTTTCTTTATCTAATGATATACGAATTAGTTCATTTTCAGTTGTATTTCTCATTATTAACGATCCTCGAGATTGTTTATAATTTTGTATTTCTGTCTGTCTCTCCATCTGTCTGTTCGTCAGACCGTGTGCACCTATCAGTCAATGCATTCTTGGTTGGGACATACGGTCGGTTTCGGCGGCGCACGCCGCCTCACCTCGCACCACCCCCGAATTTCATACAGATTTATTTACATAAATACAGTGCTATTTATTGAGAAGTATACATAGGGATTTATTTGTACCTATATATTGTTTTTTCCTATGTTTACTTTTAAATGAAAATCTCTTATGAAGGGCGCCTAATTTTGTGCAACCAGAATAACTTCTTAAAACAATTGTCAATTGGTATAGTGCCGGTGACAGTTTAAGGGGCGTAAGAGAATTATTTTCTGTTAAGCCAAAGCAACAATTTTCAAACTAATTAATACGACAACCAGCTGTTTATTTGATTTGTTTTAGATTCGGCCTTAAACATAGGTAAAAACAATACACATAAATCCCTATGTGTACTTCTTAATAAATAATCACTGTATGTATAGGAACCTTCGCGGGAATACATTCCACCATTTTCGAAATTTTCAGGATTTAGTTTAAAAATGTATAAGGAATTCTTATGGCCAGGTATTTCTTTTGTTTTATTCACTTTAGATAGCTTAATCAAAAGTGTGTAAACTATAGGCCAGAGTGGTAACTGGAGTATTTTTCAAAGAGATATACTCAGAGATTGTACTATTGGATCATAATAGTTCAATCTCAGTTCAATTGACAGATTGAATGGAGAAGCTCGGTTGGTTTATATTCCACTAATATCCATAATCAAACAATTGTGACAAGGAAGGTAAAATCGAGAGAGAAATTAATTTTAATAGGATTCGAGTTATGTTATGTAGGGAAATTCAGAGAGGTTATACAAGTTAATGAAAGGATTTAAACAGGGAACGGCATAATAAGTCCAGGAGGAATGTAGAGATTTTTTTAAGGAAAATTATAACGGTTTAATAGGGCCAAATTACGTTTGAGTAGGGTAAAGAAACAGCTGCATTAGTTTGTTTCATGTTGGCGATACAGAAATACCTTTAGGAGCAATTCCGTTTCGTCCCCGCTATTGCTTTGACTAATTTTCTGTCCCAAGATCTAGGATACATCGTCACGGTGATTCCGTATTTCGAGTCGATAATTATCCTTTTTCT